CCCCCCCCACCTTGTGCTGCCCCCGCGTTGGCTTTGCCTGGTTTCGGTCCCATTTGCATTGCGCTTCCTGCCCTACATGCTAAAACGCCTCGTGGGCCAACTTTTATAAGAGAAAAGAGAAGGTAAGGGTTGTGTGTGTAGGGAAAGCCCCGTTAAATTTCTCGCGTCGGGTGACTCCGTGACGGTATGGTGGTGGAACTGCACCAGAGGGCAAGGAGAGTTCATAAGCGGTCCATATGGGGTCGTGCACCTACTACGTGTCGGTAACGGGGTATGAATATCATGGCCCCCTCAGAAGGTTCAGGGTCACCATAGGAACTTGGGGACCTCGTGGGCCTTGTGGAACAAAAACCATGGGGGACGTTTGAATTCCTTTGGTGGGTGGTCCATATATTGCCCCCATGGTATTTGTACCCCCTCCCCTCCTCCCAATTTGGGCACGTAGTGTGTGCACGACCCCGGAGGGACCCCACCCCCGCCCCCGCGGACGCCAGGACGACGTCAGGTCAGGTCAGCCCCGGGAAGAGGGGGCAGAACGAGATCACCTTGCTGCCGGCAGCCTTCGCATTGATCGTGATAAATCCATATCGTTTTACGTAATGGTCGCGGCGCTGTTTTCTGTCGCCACATTATCTAAGAACAGGGCAGGCACGGGGTAGAGAGAGAGAGAGAGAGAGAGAGGGGGGGGGGGGGGGGGGGGGGGGTTGGGAGGGGGCTTCAAATCGGTATGGGTTATATGTCGCTGCAAGCAAAAAATAAAAATAATAATTGACGCGGTTACAAAAAAATAAAACAAAATAAGAAGGGATAGGAAAGTGCGATTGATCGGATGACCACCGCCCAAGCTGCTATCGGGCGCATCATCAACTCTTTGCATGTGTGATGTGGAATGTTCCGGTAGCATATCTGACCCCCAGGGGCGTATCTGCGCCGCGCGGACGCTACGGCGTATTGTTTGTACCCCCGATGCAATTTTGATTGTACCGAGTTTTCGTTTGTGACGTGACGTCCGCCGGTCACTTTTCTACGTTTCTGTTTGGTTGGGGGGGGG